AGTATAAGATAGATGGAGAGTTACGATGCTAGACAGAGGGTGTCACTGAGCGGGAAAATGCCAGCAGAGCCAGCTGCGAGAACCACCTGGATCGTCTGGCTTTTCCTCCCCCCCCCTCCCCCTCCAATACCAGCTGAGGAGAAGAAAGCGTCATATTGATCATGCTGGAGATTTCCTCGTCTTTTTCTTCGTCTTCTTACTCTTCCTCCTGTTTTTTTTTATTATTATTATTCTTACTCTTACTCTTTTTCTTTTCTTTTTCTTCTTTTTTCTGCTTCTTCCTCTTCTTCCTCTACTTCATTTACTGACATGCACACACATACAAATTGCACGCACGCACACACACACACACACACACACACACACACACACACACACACACACACACACACACACACACACACACACACACACACACACACACACACACACACACACACACACACACACACACACACACACACGCGGCCATACATCACGAGGGTGATTTAGAGACCGCCGGACTGTTTATCCAGGGGGTCGTTTCTGCCCGTGGGATTTGTACTGCTGCGGAGGCCTCTCTCTTTCCTTTTTTTCTCTTCATCTTTCGTCTGATTTATCTTGTTGTTTTTTTTGTTGTTGTTGTTGTTTTTTTGTCCGTCCTGCTTCCTGTTTTGTGGGTTTTTATTTGTATTTTTTCTTTATGTTTTTGTTTGTTTGTTTGTTTTTGTTTTTCTTCCTATTCTTTTCTTTTCTTCCGCTTTACATTTACGGTGTGAACTGAGGTTGTAAAAATTATATGAAAAACTAATGTAGCTTTTGCGGATAGACTGATAGAGAGATAGATAGATAAACAGACAGAAAGACAAACAGACAGACAGACCGAGATAGAGACATAAACAGACAAACAGACAGACAGACCGAGATAGAGAGATAAACAGACAAACACACACACACACGGAAAAAGACATCGGCGATTAAACCAGATAGCCTGATGAGAGAGGGACAGACAGGCGGACAGAGAGGGCGAGCTAGCGATAAACTCGGGACCAGCGATGACAGTCTGGGAAATGAATGATGGCGAAGGGAAGAGAGGGAGAGAGGAGAAGAGTGATAAAGAGGTAACAAGAAGCGAGAGGGTTCACAGAGTGTCGTTGTTGTTCATAGAGAGACAGAGAGAGAGAGAGAGAGAAAGAGAGAGAGACAGAGAGAGAGAGACAGAGAGAGAGAGAGAGAGGAAGAGGAAGAGGAAGAGGGAGAGGGAGAGGGAGAGAGGAAAGAGAAAGGGAAAGAAAGAAAGAGAGGGGAGGGGAGGTGAAGTAGAAAATGAGAGAGAGAGAGAGAGAGAGAGAGAGAGAGAGAGAGAGAGAGAGAGAGAGAGAGAGAGAGAGAGAGAGAGAGAGAGAGAGAGAGAGAGAGATTAAGCGAGAGACTGAGAAGGAAAAGAAAGAAAGAAAGGGAATGGAGAAAGAAGACAAGAGACAACCCCTTAAGAGACAGCGTACAAAGTGGCACAAAGGCAAAGGCGTGGAAGTTACAGTTAGCTAAAACGAGTCTACTAACTCAGTTAATTCCAAACTTCGTTAAACCCGAGGCAGTGTGTGTAGCAACACGCGCCTTACCTGTATAACTTCGCCGATAATTAAATTGATAAGACCAGGACCTCCGCTTAATGCAGAAGGGAGGGGGGGAGGGAGAAGGTTTGTTATATTCTGCTTTTTATAATTGTTTCTTTGTCGATAGAAGCACTTTTTTTTTTTTATCTTGTTCTGTTTTAGCCCCGGTGTGTGTATGTATGTGTGTGTGTGTGTGTGTGTGTGTGTGTGTGTGTGTGTGTGTGTGTGTGTGTGTGTGTGTGTGTGTGTGGTTCTTTGTGTGTGTACTATGTGCCCTTGGTGGCCCTGAACCTGATAGCAAGTGGCCGTGGCCCTTATATGGTCGCAGTATAGGGTTGCTTGTTTCCATGATTCATATTTCGTGCTTCATTTATCGTGGTTGTTTTGTTGTTATTGTTTTTTGTGTGTGTGTTTTCCTCTCTATGTCTCTCTTGCTGCTTCTCTCTCTCTCTATCTATCTATCTATCTATCTATCTATCTATCTCCTTTCTCTTTCTCCCATCCTCCCTCTTTCTATCCTCACTCTCTCTTATGCCTTCTTCTCCTATCCTCTACTTATTCTCCCCCTCTTTCTCCTCTTCCTTTCCTCGTTATCCCAGCTAACAGGTTGGAAACTAGGGAGGAGGAGAGAGGGCGAAAGAGAGAAATGAGGGAAAATCGAGGGGAGGAGAAAGAAGATGAGAAAGAGAGAGAGAGAGAGGGGGGGGGTGAAGCAAGCGAGCGAGAAAGAGGAAAGGAAGGAAGGAGGGGGAGGATAGATACAAAGAACACAGTGAGTGAGGGGAAGAGAGAAGGTGGGGGGGGGGGGGAGTCAAGACACGCTGGTCCGAAATAAAATCCTTAACAAGGCGACGCTTCAACATGGCCACAGGAGAGAAAAGGACACGGGCGAAAGTTGCATTAAACGTCACTCACTTGATTGCTAGACCTGTGTGCTTCCCTCGTTTTTTTCTTCTTTCTTTTTTCCTTTCTTTTTTGTTTTGTTTTTATCTTCTTCACTTATTTATGTTTTTTTTCTTTTTCTCCTTTTTTTCATATCCTTGTTTTTTCTTTCTCTTTCTCTTTTTTTTATTTGTTCATATCCTTGTTTTTTCTTTCTCTCTTTTTTTTCCTATCCTTGTTTTTTCTTTCGTTATTTTTCTCTCCTTTTATTCACTTATTTATGTCATTTTTATCCTTTTTCTCTCTTTTGTTTTTCTTCTTTCCTCCCCTTTTTATCTTGGTCCTTCCTTTTGTCTCCTTTAAACTCGGTATATTTTTATCTCTTTAGATCAGAATATTCCCCATCTGGATGTGCGTGCTTGCGTACGTGCGTGTTAAGGGGGGAGGAGGGGAGGGGGTGTGCGAAGTAGAAGCAACCTCGTCTATCTTGTGTCTACCTGGGAAATAACCCCATATGTGCGTTATTTATTCCGGGATTTTAAAGATTCATTTTTCTGCATAAATTGGGGCTTAGACTGCTAGCTTTGAAGACTCGGAATCTCTCTCTCTCTTTATCTCTTTCTTTCCTTCTTTCTTTCTCTTTTTTTCTTTCTCTCTTTCTCTCTTTCTCTCTTTCTCTCTTTCTCTCTCTCTCTCTCTCTCTCTCTCTCTCTCTCTCTCTCTCTCTCTCTCTCTCTCTCTCTCTCTCTCTCTCTCTCTCTCTCTCTCTCTCTCTCTCTCCCTCTTCCTCTCCTTCCCTTCCCTTCCCTCCCTCCTACAGGAAAAAATACGAATTCATAGACATACACGCAAATCCCCAAGATGACGTCATAGTCCTCGGTTTCGCAAGCAAGACTGAGCAAATTACCGAAACTGCCTGAACTGCCGAATTACCGAACTACCCCGACCTCTTGTAACGGAAGGCTAATCGCTAGTTTCGTTGTGGACTGTGGGCGTGTGTGCTGGTTCTTGTGGTAGGTGGGTTGTGGGCGGCGGGCGGTGTGGTCGGGTTTGTGGTTGATCTCAAAGGTTAGATGGAAGCGAAGAGGGTTTCATTCCACCGCATAATGTCTCTGGTTGATGGTTGATAACTTTTTTGGGGGGCGGAGGGGGTGGAAGGCGTAGGTCGGGTTCATCTTCATTTTCATTCATCTTTCTCTTTCGTTTTCAGCATTTTTTTCCCTCTTTGCTCAATCACTTTCGTTGGCGTCAGTCATGATTTCTTGTTCATTGTCATTTCTATTTTCGTTCATTTCTCTGTTGTTAATCTTATTCTTATTGTCATTTTCCTCCGACTACTCTGCCTCCTCCCCCGTTCTTTCTCTTGAAACAGAATATAAATTAATTAAAAAGCTTCTTAAAAAAAGAGAAAGAGAGAGCGAGGAAAATACACATAGTAAACCTAGTAAAACAAGAAAAACAAGGGAACGGAAGATTAATACATATTGAGAAAGTTGTATATATTTCGTAACAAGAAGGAGCCGCACTGGACTAGGTTTCAGACACGAGCATAAACCACTATCTTATTTTTTTTTCCTTTTCTTTTTCTTTATTTCTGCCCATTCTCCCTCGCGTTTTTTTTTTGTTGGTTTTCTTCTCCTTCTCCTTTTCTTTCTCATCTTTTTCTTCCTCATTACCATCCTTTTGCTTCCGCTACTTCTCATCCTCTCTCCCTCCTCTTCCTCCTCCCTCCTTCCCCCCCACCATCTTTCCTCTCACATCCTTCCCCCCTCCTCCTTCCCCCCTCCTCCCTCCTCCCTTACCCCCTCCCCCCCCTCCCCCTCCTCTCGGCGTAGAAATGATTGCGGTTCGTGCAGTGAGGGCCAAACCCGTGCCTCATGTTCGTGGGTGCCGTTTGTTTGCGTTATTTATGAGGGGGGGTGGGGGCGGGGGGAGGCAGTGATGATGTCATTGAAACTTTTAATTTGTTTGTTTGTTTGTTTTGTTCGTTGGATTGTCTTGGAGTTGTTGTTTTTTTTTTAGGGGTTCTAGTGGGTTCGTTGTTCTTGTTGTTTTGTCCTTTGTTCTTCATGTTCTTCATCGCCGTCAGCTGTCCATGGCGTTGTTATTATTATGACGTTCAACCAACACCATAGACAATTAAGTCAGCGCCATAGATATCTGTGAAATAGATAACATGATTATTAATTCATAGCAGTGAATGTAACTGAGAAAACGCATACACCTTAAGATATATATAAGTATATTTATCCCTATCAAGACAAACCCACTTTTATGAGTGTTTTTTTTTTTCTTTTTGCTAAAAATTTGCATTCATTAACTCCGACATTAAATAACACATGTACCAATTAATCCATTTATTAATGAACTCCCATGAATTTTCGTTCCTGGATCCATATCCTAAAATGTCCCTCCACATCCATCTTCCCATTTATTCTCCTTCTAAATAACCACCGTAATTAACACCACTAATTCGTAATGAACACTTTTAATTGATGTCCTCTTTCTCTCTCTCCTGCGCAGGTGTGGTGGCGGGGGTGCCCCAGCAGCGACATGGTGAGCGCGGTTCGTCTTCGCCTTCGTCACCCAGCATCGGGGCGTCGCGCTCTGCCGAGTCTACGCCCATCAAGATAGTGGTGAGTGGGCGCGTGTTTTTCTTTGTGTGTGTGTGTGTGTGTGTGTGTGTGTGTGTGTGTGTGTGTGTGTGTGTGTGTGTGTGTGTGTTTCTCTTGAGATTTAATCCGTATTTTTTTTTTTTTTTTTTTTTTTTCTTTTTGTAGGAATAGTTGTTGTAAGTTTATTCGTTTTTAATAGTGATGGTTGTTGTAGTGCTTTTTTTTTTTGCCATCAAGATAGTGGTGAGTGGACGCGTTTTTTTTTTGTGTTTTTCTCTTGAGATTTAATTTGTAATTTTTTGTAGTAATAGTTGTTGTAGTCGTTTATTCGCTTTTAATAGTGATGGTTGTTGTAGTACTTTATTTGCTATCAGGGTAAAGGTAAGTGGTCGCGTGTTTGATTTAATTTTTAATTTTAGTAGTAATAGTTGTTGTTGTCGTTGTAGTGCTAGTGTGAACGCCCGTGCAGATAGTATTGAGTATTCGTTTGTGTGTGTGTTCGTTTGTGTGTGTATTTTCCTTATTATTTCATTAAGGTTACTAGTAATGGTTGTAAGAGTTGTCATTGTACTGTTATTGTTCTTTTATGAGCAACCTGTGAGTCAACGCCCATCAAGATGATAGTGAATCGCGGGGGTTTATTGTTATTGTAGTTATCATTATTATCACCATCATCATCATCGTCATCACCACCATCATCATCATCATCATCACCATCACCACCACCATCATCATCACCATCATCATCAGACAGACAGACGCACATACAAACAGAGAGGAGACGAGAGGCAGACGAACAAAAATGAAAAACAAAATATATCAAAGAAACCCCAAGAAATGAATAGATATTAGGTGATTGAGTCTTCATCCCCCCCCCCCCTTTGATCTCCCCAGCCCGCCCATAGAGACCGGGTGTGGGCGTGGGGGTAATCCAAGCTGGCATAAACAAGAGTACGGGGGGGCGGGGGGGGGGGTTGTAAATTGATTCCTAATGGAGACCTGTATTTATGCCAAGGACTCGACGAAAGGGACGGCGGTGTGATGGCATACAGGTGTAGGGGGGGGATGAGGGGGTGAGGGGGGGGGGGGGGGAGGGTCGAAAAGCATCCTCCCCCTATATGCCGCGTTGGGAGGGTTGCTCTTTGTCTCTTTCTGTCCGTTTGTGTGTCTGTCTGTCTTTCTTTTTTCTATTTTTTTTTCTTTTTCTTTCTCTTCCTCTCTGAATCTCAGTCTCTCTCTCTGTTTTTTTTTTTCATTCGCTCGCTTTCTCTCCCCCTCCCTCCCTCCCTTCTCCCTCTCCCTCCCCTCCCCTCCCCTCCCTCTCCCTGCCACTCACTCTCCCCTTCTTCAGTCCGTAACACATTTATATACTTTTATTTAAGTGTATAAGCATGTGTTTATCTTTCCTCAAATCTGCATGGCTCTAAAACTAAGATGGACATGCTCCGTGTGGGCGGGAGTGTAGCAGGCGAGTAACCTTGTGGGCGGCATGTAGTGTATAGAATTACATGTGTAGCGAAGTACTCTCCACCGCCAGTGAAGTCATTTTGTTGTTGTTGTTTTTTTTAGGTTTTATCTCATTTTGTTTATTTTCTTAGCTTTTAATTTCTGTTTTTTTTATCCCCGTTTTTTTGTTGTTTTTATTTTTTGTTCGTTGGTGTCTAACTGTTGTGTTGATCTTATTTTATGCTATGTTTTTTTTCGTTTTCTTCGTTTTCTTTGTCTGTTTGAGGTTTTTATACATTGTCTACGTTTATCATATTTTCCTTCTTGTATCCACGTCCAGTCTTATCTCCCGTGTCTATTAATCTTCCTCTTATTTATTATTCTCTCTTTCTCTCTCTTCTCCTCCTCCTCCTCCTTCTTCCGCTCGCTCCTTTGTTTCAGGCGATGAAAGTTTGTATATTACACGATCAGAAGAGTTGTTGCCTCCATTATGCAAATCAGCTGTTCGGGTGAAGGCGGCGAGGGCCTGGTGGAGACACGATCGCTAGTTACGACCGGCTCCTTTCAGGTCGGAGAGCAGGGGAAAAGTGATTTTGTTTTGAGGGACTGCGCGTGCACTTGCGTAATCGGGGATGTACACGCTAGGGCAAACACAGTCGCACACGCACACACACGCACGCATGTACGCACGCATACAAGCATGCATACACGGACGCATACACGCACGCATACAAGCACGCATACACGCACATATACCTACGTACATATATACATCAAACATGCATACATACACCATACACACACACATACCTACGTACATACATGCACACACACACACGCACACACACACGCACACACACACACACAACGAACATGCCAGGTAAGAGAGGGGAGGGGAGGGTAGAGCAATGGAGGGAGGGGGAGGGTTAGCAGGAAGAGATAAGAGGCAGAGGGGAGGGGAG